CGTGTAATTATTCTTCATCTGTTTCTCTTCACAGATTGAAATTAAGAGCCACGTATTCTTCTCCCCCATCAACTGGGACGACCTCAACGCAAAGAAGATCACCCCTCCCTTCAACCCCAACGTGGTAAGTCTCAGGCCTTTCTACGGCATAGTGGCCATTGTGTTGCCAGATCGAGAGCAGGCAGCATCCTCGCTGTGAATTCACACATTTCCTGATATGGCAATGGATTTTACAGCCTGACTAATCCCCCACCCCACCCACCCTCTCCTTCCTCCCTCTCAGACGGGACCTAACGACCTCCGGCACTTTGATCCAGAGTTCACAGACGAGCCGGTGCCCAGCTCCATCGGCTGTTCCCCAGACAGCGCGCTCGTTACAGCCAGCATCAAAGACGCCGCCGAGGCCTTTGTGGGCTTCTCGTACGCCCCGTCTATGGATTCCTACCTATAGGATTTAAACACAGGCCCCTCAATGGACACCAATTCAGACTCACAGGACATGGAATATGGTGTTTCCCTGCGCTTGCATCTTGACCCCACCTTACATTTACCATTGGGGTGATAGATACGTCTGAACCAAACCCTGCGACCACAGCGCGTCTGCAAAGAGCTGAAACACGTGCACTTGCCATGATTTATCCGACTCCTAAAGGAAGACTTTCTGCAACAACAACAAAAAAAACCCGCCTGCTTTCTTTAAAGGACATGTTAAACCCTCGTCTTTTGCCCCCCCGATCAAGCGACGCACAATTTCTTGAACAGAGACAGACTGCAGCCTTTAATTGCCCCTCTCTTACCTGACAGTGGAGGTATTTTGCACACAGCTCGGGCAGCTTAGAAGCCCCCGTCAACCGACAAGCACACACACATCAACTTCCACCAGCCCTCACAAGGATTTCCATCCTCATCTATGTAGGGAGTCTTCTGAGATTCTGTCTAACCGCCCACAGGGGAACTTCCTTTTGACTTTTAAAAAGTAGAGATGACATTTATTTGGTGCTTTTGGTTTCTTCTCATTTACATTCTGTGGTTGAAAAGGGAGGTATTTGAAGCTGAATGTTACAAAGGGGGATCTTTTATTTATTCTCTGAAATGTGCCTTTTTTATTTTATTTTTTTCTTCTCTCCATCCTCTTTTCACTTTGTCTGTACCACGTTTTTAAAAAAAAATTTATTCGCTTTATGCATTTGTTTTAAACAAGACAGGAACGGTGACGCACCGAATAGACGCACCTGTTGCAGCGAGACGTAGAGAACTTAAAACGGCGTTTTGAATCTTCATTTGCACATGAAACAATAATGGTGATAGTGAGAGAGAGAGAGAGAGAGAGAGAGAGAGAGAGAGAGCACTGCTGCTAGGTGACAGAGAGAGTGATGTGTTCAGGAGTGTTTGTGTTGTTCTGCGTACCAACTGTGTCCCCCCCCCATGCGGTCTTCCATTCAGCTCGCAACAAGTCTGCGGCGGCCCGCAGCCGACGACATCGCAACTGAACATTCCATTTTAATATTGCTGTTATGCAGTTTGGTGGTATTTAAGTTTGTTTGTATATTTGAGTTATCTGTACTAGTTTTAATGTATATTATTGAACAAAAAATGACTTACGTTGTGCTTGAATATATATATATATATATGTAACAATTCATGTTAAATGTACTGTAAATTGTCAAATTGTTTAAGATTCATGTGGCCATGTCAGGTTTGCAATAAAAGTTTAACTTTATTACACCTCATAACCCTGTTTGCAATTATTTCTAGTTTGAAATCTGCTGATTATTTTGACTAAATGTCTTGGCATTGCAACAGAGTCCATGGAAAATAAGCAGGTCAACACCTTTCTAAGTTAAAGAGTAAACCAAAACATGTAGACCTAGTTAACATTTACTACTCCTGGTTGGAAAGAGCTTTAGCTACAGGCCACCGGCAAACGTGTCATGAGCGTGAAACGGACTTTACCCCCCCGCCTACATGCGTCAGCAGCTTTACACAACGATCATTGTGACGTCCAAGTGTCTCTATGTGTGTGTTTGCGTGGAGGGATCACTTCACGGGGAAACTATCAGCTGGCCGCAGCTGGAATGATAACGCAACTCCAGGTCAAAGCACATTGATGAACCAGAGCCGAGTCACATCGGGCCAGAGGAGCGTCGGCTGCACGAAGCTGAAGCTAAAGCTGCAACGATGAGTCAAGTGGGAATGATGTAAACTAAGTAAGTGGTAAGAACGCAGAGTGTGACGCAAACCTTTTTACTGGAGCTAAAGCTTGTGCGCATGGTTAGTTGTGTCTGTTGGGCTGGATTTAAACAGGACTTTGCATGTCTACCAGATGGGGGGGGGTATAATGGCCACAAGGATTTTGATTACAAGCACAGTGTTGGAATTGAATAATGAGTTTAACTCCAACAAACTCCATCAAAACATTACCAGGCCAAAAAATGTGATGGAAAATAAGTAAGAAAATATGGTATGCCAAAAAATGCATGTATTTTTAAAGCTGCTAAGCAAAATGTTGTTGGTCACAGTGTTTGACATTTTGCGATTGATCAAAATACTACAGTATGATATTATCGGCACCTCTGTACAATAGTCCCAGTTTAGTAAAACTGTATAGGGCCAAAGATGCTCTATTCCTGCAGCAGTAGTCGTGCAGCATCATCTGCTGGCCCGGTCTGGAACTGATGAGGTTAAGCAGTTGCTCTTATTTATTTCCTCAGACAACACATGACATGACAGACGAGTCATTTTGTTCAAGCAACTGAAGCTTTGATCCTCAATAATTTATCATCTTCAATACGAGACAATAGAAGGAACTTTTCCTATGTTTGAAAGTTTCTGGAGGACCTATTTTCTTCCCGTTAGTAACTATGACAAAAAATACCATGACTTTTTAATGACATATTTCACAATATATAATACTACTTTTTTAAAAACATATTGTCCAACAGAGTGTAATATGACTTGTGTTGTCACGAGAGGCTGGGTCTGGGAAGGGAGATTACGTTCACCGGCGATGGCTGTAACTACTATGGCTCCACCTGCTGGTGGAGTTAGGAACTCCACCCTCAAACTCAGCGCATTCCCCTCACACCTGAAACCCATCAGGGTATGACGACCGGGAGGCCTTCATAAGGGCGGAAGACACACCGTTGAGGGGGGAAGAGACGAGCTGCAGATTGGGCCCGCTGCAGAAGAGCAGGCCAAGACAGAAGGATTCCCGGGGGGCAGGAGAGACCGGGAGGACGGTGTTTTCTCCTTAAAGAAGTGGATTTCCGTTTCCCCTCCAAGGTCAAGACATTAGTTAAGTTTGACCGGCGAAGATCGACCGAACCCCGAGTTACCCCCTGTTTTGACTGTTTAATCTGAAGGACGTAAATTAAAACCTTTTGTTTACATTTTGAACCCGGTGTCCTCGCACTATTTGAACTACCCCGGAGAGAGCGGCGGCGCCACTCGTGACATCAGACTTTTTTGTGAATATATATATATATATATATATATATATATACACAAAAGTATGAACTTGTTCTTACAACATACATTACTATGACTTTTTCATGATAGTTTTCACAATGCACATTTCCATGACTTTTTGCATATTTTTAATGACACGCCATTGTGAGGACCCTCCTTGTCACACACAGGTGTCCCTGTTGCTCGTGGTCATCTGATTGCAGGTGCAGGACATACATTACAATTACTTTTTTGTCTTCAAAATTGATAAATATGACTTTTTTTATGGAATATTTTCCAAGATAGTGTACTATAACTTAACTATTTGCTGTTCGAGGCGTTACAATATGTGTCTATTTAATGGGATTCCGTGGATATTTTTTACAAAATACACTACAATCCCTTCATAACATCTTCATAAAATATTTCTTATTTCAAGTAATTATCAAACTACAGTGTGATTTAGAATAGGTAAAATAGTAAATATTTATAAAATGATGTACTATGTATTTATAGTTATATTTATTTAATTGTAACTTTCACATGTTTTTGACATTTCTTATGGAACAGTGTAGAATTAAATGAGAGTATAACAATATTATTTTCATGCTATTTTTTTACATATACAACATATACTTGATGTTTCCTTGACCAATAGTCTTTTTACACCATGGTTAAGCCTTAACTTAAAGGGTCTGCTTCAAATCAAGTCTGACCTTTAGACCATCAATACGTATGTCTGCTGATTATGTTGCCAATTCATGCTAAGTGAGTAATCTTTGAGTGCCTTAAAATAGAATAACAAGAATAAAAAGGAAAAATAGTTATTGTCCCGTTGAGACACTCCATTCCTACAGATGTTTAAGCACAGCTAAGAAAGTAGTCTGCATGGGGCCATTTGCCAAGGTACACTGTCACATAGTTATATAATATTAATCATGTGACTAATTCCTAACATATTAAAGACCAGTATTCAACATATAGGCTACCCATAGTCATCTTGGTCTCTTAGTCAATCCTGGTTAATCATTTAACGCACACTTGGCTTTGGTAAAGTAAACCACGGATTCAAAAACGGATCAAGAACAGGTCCCTACAAGTCATGTCAAAAATATGAAAATACACCAACGCAAAGGAGTGCCAAGCATGAACATTAGGGTACATTCAGTCACCTGTGAGGCTGCAGGACGGGTGTGACAGCTTAATCCTGCAGCTGACGTGGGAGCCGAGCAAAAGCGCAGGCGATCACCCATTTGTTTTTCACATGAGGTATGAGAGGAAGAACATTATTGTCGCACTCTAATCTGACGCTCAGAGCCAAACGCTTCATAATCCTAAAGCTAAACTGTGAAAACACCACAGAGAACGTCACGCTTCCCACTGTTAATCATCGTTATACTGTAACGTGGCAACACTGTTGCATTACAAATGCATGAAACTATACATTGTGTCTGATTTTCGCGTCACAACCAATAAGGATCTGTGGTGGGCGTTCCCAAACCGAATCCTCGTTGCTCATTGGTGGTTCGTGCGGACGCGGGCGGGGCTAAACGAGTAATTTGACAAAACAAGTTGCGTGCGTGCGCCAACACGAGAGAAAGACGAGTTGGGAATAGAGGTAATGCCCGAAAGTTCTCTGAAGAAACCGAATGACTCGTTTACACAAATTTTAAGCAACAGAGACACCGCTGGCTCGTCAGGTAGGCAAAGTGTCACCATTGCTAACGCGTAGCCTAAACGTGAACTCTTTACGAAGAGAGCGTTTCACGTGAAGCCCCACGTCATTATGTAAGAGGGTTCTGCTTTATTTCGCTTATTAACACCGAGTGTTTTCCTTGGTGGTCTCAACAGAAGGACCGTGCGACATTCCGCTCATGTCCTGGACATGAGGACATCTATAAGTCTCACTTGCAAGCGTCAATCATAAGATATAAACATATAACTTAGCAGAGAGCAGCGTTTTGCAGACTTGTTCAAGTTATTTTGAATTAAATAAATATGATGTATTTGTTTTATATATAGTAGAGTATAATCATGCCTACTAGTATGAGAGTATTCCAACCTCTTTCTAGGAACTGATTGTCCTACACGTGTGTGTGCATGTGAACATGGCCGTTGAGTGCGATGGTTTCATGGTGTATTTCTTCTGTTTTTGTTTAATGTCTTCTGTTCGAGGTGGTTGACAATGGATCCCACCAGTGAGACCAAGAACTTGACCTCCAACCCCTCTGAGACCCAGACAGTGGAGCAACAAAGAAGCACAGGTACAGGTATTAGGGTATGCATGATATATATATATATATATATATATATATATATATATATATATATATATATATGATACAAATTGCTCACGCCTTACGTCCCTCCCTTAAATATGGAATTTGGTCTAAAAAAGTCCCACACTGGATTTTGCAACACAAAGACATGCAGATAAATCAGTAAACCAGACACTGATTCATTCTAAACGCCCAACGTTGTTGATCATGATGATGATTACATGCCGGTGTCACATTAACTTTGCTGGCGTTATACCAAAATGTCACACGCATTAATCACAAACTAGAAAATTCTCGCGCATGGGACAAACAGTGCTCATGGACACCAGGACCGGAAATGAAAATGAATCAGAGCATAGTTTGCAAGGACAAAACATTGTGGATCAAGCTTTTTGTGTGCCGAAAATGTAGATCACAAATTAACTTTTGTTTATTAACATAACATAGTAGTAGTACTACATTTTGATACCAGCAATCTGAGTAAGGGAGACTAGAAAGTGGGGAATTTGCCATTTTACGCCGCTGGTCCGATTAGATCCTGTTGCAAGATGCTCGTATAGTGTTTAATGATTCCAAAATAAACCCCAAACAGAAATGTAACAACAGTAGCTGAAAGACCCAAGACCAACAAGTGAGGACAGTCTAACATGTAAAATAGTAATTCATAATGTCTGTTATGTAAAACTGAGTGAGAGGGCGATGCAGTACAAGGGTCAAAGCACATATAGGACCCTGCAGTTTGCAGCTGCATCTCTGTTTTTCTTTCAGAAGAATCACATTAAAACTAAATGAAAAAAGGTCTCACTTGCGTGATTATGAAGATAATTGTAGTTACATTAAGTAGACAGCCAATTTTAAAAATGGGTTCCAAGAATAATCGTTATTAAGGTGTAGTGTCTTCTATTCAAAGCTGTACTTTGTAGAAAAACAAGTCGGATCCGTTATTAAGTTTACCACGTATAAATATCAAAGGTCGTGCATATTAACAGTTATTAGTTGCTTTGCTAGGTACACATTGTAAGCTCATCAGTGTTAATTCATTCAGATCTGTTGTCATATCTCTCTAATGATAAGGAATGTCTGTAAGCTCACAGTGATTCGTTCAAGATAAAGCGTGTCTGCTTAAACCTCGCGCACACACACACACACTCACACAATGACTTACAAGATTGCCTTTGCATTCTTCTTTGTAACTTCTGACCTCTAATTCCACACAATCAGCACTTCTAAAGGGACTTCACGGTTGGGGGAGAAAAGCTGTGACCCTTCTAAAAGTGATGACCTACTGTTGTTCCAAAGTAGTTACAATATTTATTACTTTTTTTTTAAAGTTAAGTAACGTTTCACCACGTTCCCTCCCTTCAGACATCACACTGACGGACAATTTAGATTCTTATTTTAATGAAATTTCCTTGGCTGATGGTTCGTTAGTGGAGTTTCTTTGCTATGACACTATAATATTATATTTGCACCTGTAGCGTTTTCTGCCTGAAAAACCTCGTTTTGAGGAGATTACCACACTGTTAACCTGGGACCTGCGACACATCATGCCATTCATTGCATGACCTTACCGGCCGTAAACAAGAGCACTACTCGCGTTAATCACCTGACAGAACAAATGGTTCACTTGTTGGCCGGACTCCAGGGAGGTCTTAGGTCTTAGTGCCAGGTCAGTTCTGCACCTCGATAACCCTGCTGGATCTGCACGAAGTAAAACATGTCTGCAGCTGATGCTCCCTACCTCTCTCATGACTTCCATGCTGCTAAGTAATATGACAAATGTCTAACTAGAAAGATAATACCAAGTCCTTTCATGTACTTTAATTAGGCCACTTGCTGAATAGAATAGTAGGCTACATATGCTGTGTATTAAAACGTATTAGTGGTTCTGTAACATTGGAGATAACAGCAGCGGTAAGCATGTTTAGAAAGTGGCCAACCGAAAAAACTAACGCCATGTGTTGCCAACTGTTTTAATGTATCAGCAGCAAGAAGCACGAGCTCCAAAGGTCGCTAAATTTAGCGACAAAGTTGCCAAGTCAGCAACACTGACGGGCCGTCCCGTCGCGCCTCCCTCCGAAGCCACTCCAACCATAATGATCACAATGGAGATAAACTAACTAGAACGACGACAACCGCGTTTGATCGTAAACACGCCGTGACGCATCTATTTTAGGATTCAAGTTCTCGCGGGAGACTCATGCGACCAACTGCCGGGCCTCACGAACTACATCTCCCACCCTTCCTCCAACACATGGGAGACTTAGCAAAAATCCACGAGTGCTCGGGGGTGGACTTTGGTCGTTCGGCTATTAACCTCCTACCCTGCGACCGGTCCTCTGTCCCTCTCTCCAGGTGTCAGCTGGCTGCTGCTGGCAGCGGCCGGGGCGGCGTCCCTGAGCGGCCTGATGCTGGGCTACGAAATGGGCCTGACCTCCGGCGTCCTGCTGCAGCTGCGGGGCCTCCTCTCCCTCACCTGCCGCCAACAAGAGCTGCTGGTCAGCTCGCACCTGCTCGGCGCCCTCCTCATCTGCCTGGCCGGGGGTCCCGTGTTGGACCGCTACGGCCGCCGCTGCTCCCTGCTCCTCAGCGCGGCGCTGGTGGTCGGGGGGAGCGTCGTGCTCATGGCGTCCAGCTCGCTCGTCGCGTTCACGCTGGGCCGGGTGGTGGTCGGCATGGGAACGTCGCTGTCGGGGACCGCGGCGTGCCTGTACATCGCCGAGATCTCGCCGAGGGAGAGGAGGGGCCTGCTGGTCACGCTGTACGAGCTGATGCTGGTCGTGGGCGTCATGCTGGGATTCAGCTGCAGCTACGCCTTCGCCGCTCTGCCCAACGGCTGGGCGTACACGTTTGGGCTGGTAATCCCCCCGGCGCTGCTGCAGATGGCCGCGCTGGTCTTCCTCCCGCCGAGTCCCCGCTTCCTGGTCACCCGGGGCAAAGTGCAGCAGGCCAGGGTGGTGCTGGCCAGGATGAGAGGCGGGACTGAGGAGCACTTGGAGAAGGAGCTCATGGATATCCGGACGGGACTCAAGGAGGAATCGGAGCACAGCTTCTGGGAGCTGTTCAGCTCCAAGGCCAACCTGCGCTCGCGGCTGCTCACGGGCGTGACCTTGGTGTTCCTGCAGCAGGCCACCGGTCAGCCCAACATCCTCTCCTACGCCTCGCCGCTCCTGCGCAGCGTGGGCTTCGACAGCGACGCCGCGGCCACCTTGGCGTCCACGGGCTTCGGGGTGGTGAAGGTGGTCGGCACCATCCCGGCCGTGCTGCTGGTGGACAGCGTGGGGCCCCGGAGCTTTCTGTGCGGGGGCGCCGTCGCCATGGGAACGTCGCTGGTGGCGCTGGGCGCGCTGACGCTGCAGAGCCACACTAACCTCAGCAGCCTGTGCAAGAGTCACACCGGGTCCAACCGCACGCACGCGCCGTGGGACCTGAACGAAACCGCCGCGCAGCTGGGAAGCGGCGACATCTTCGCCACTGACCACCCCCACCGGTGGAACAGCGAGGAGTCGCGGCGCGCCGACCGAGAGGACGGCGGGGTCGGGGGGGCGTCGGGACGAGGGTCTTCCTTGCTGAAGTGGGCGTCACTGATCAGCCTGCTGGTGTACGTGGCGGCCTTCTCCGTAAGCCTCGGGCCAAGTAAGCAGCCAATCATTCGGCTCCACTCACCCACGATCCTTCGTGCACATAAACACGCGCGCACGGCGTGTTTGACGCTGCCCGAGTCTCAATTGTCATCAAAGGGGAACGCCAAGGAGTGCCCTGTGTGCAAAGTGCACCATTAGTTATCATGCGTACATACACATACATACATGCAGTCGCACAGATAAAACGGGGGAACTCCCCATGAAACTTCTACTGGATCACGTCGCTTGTGTTTGTGCCTTATTAACCATGTTGACTTACATTGTGTGTGTGTGTATTTTTTGATCGTCTTTGCAGTGGTCTACGTGGTTCTCAGTGAGATATTTCCGATGGGAGTCCGAGGCCGGGCAGTTTCCGTGGTGTCGGCTGTGAACTGGGCCACCAACCTGCTCATCTCCATGACCTTCCTCACAGCTACAGGTGTGTGTGTGTGTGCTTTACAGTGCCAGTCACAGGTGAAGTCCTGTCCACAACAAATATTCACTAGGACTAGTATCCACTTCTGTTTGCCAACAATATTTGCCAGCTTTAATTAATTTTTTTCATATTTTAAGAAAAGCAAAAAAAGAGCAAACTCTATAATTGGCTCTAGAGATTTTCCGCAGAACCTGTTTTGTGTTTACTCGGTAGAAGAGGCGGGTCTCACCTTGTTTCCCCGTCTCACCTTGTTTCCCCGTCTCACCTTGTTTGCCCGTTGTAGTCAGTCACACTGTTGTGGAGCCATAACACTGCAGACAGCGTAGGATCAATTTCCAATTGGCAGTTTAAGGACACTTTTCTTGTTTTGTTTAAGGACACTTTTCTTTTCTTGCTGTTTTTTTTTCTTTTCCTAGAAAAGATCGGTGTGGCCAACATGATGTTCCTCTACGCCGCCATGAGCTTCGTTCTCCTGCTGTTCGTCATCTTCTGCGTCCCCGACACCAAAGGTCGCACGCTGGAGGAGATATCCAAAGAGCTGGCTGAGAAGTAGACCGCCGCTTCCACGCATTCTTAACGTTGTCAGTGTCAAAAAAGTCAAATTTGTGAAGTGGACTGCTGCAGGAGCGCCAGATAAGCACGTCCACAGAGTTTTTAGTTAGTTAGTTTTTTTTGACGGACCACAACAGAAGACCTCGCCCGAAGGAGAGCGGAGAGCAGGAGGGCCAAGAAGGACAATGTGTAAGCACTGTTAAGACTTTATGCACCTCACCCACACCACAGGGTTTCCTGCTGATTCCTATATTGACGTCCTCGTTATACTTGCTGTATGTGGGTGATGGGGGAAATACAAGTGGGAATGGATGGTGGACTTTGCATTCATGGGAAATAATCAAATAATGGCGAGGAATGTGTGAATTAGCAAAAATGAGGATTTCTCAGGGTTCCGCTTGTTAAACGGCAGTAAAAAAGGAAACCGTAGGGATTGAATATATTTATATCGTATCAGGTCCAGTAACGCATTGTGCATGAAGCCAACATTTGACCACTAGCCTTTAAGGGGTTTTCCATTTGGACATGATTACAAACTAGAGACTAGCGGTTGGATTTTTTTCGCCAGAGATGTTGTGCCTGGACGACATTTGGTCATTTTCCCTCTCGCAGCCTCACGGGTCAAAAAACGAAGCCAGCCTTTTGGACTAAGATGGAAAACACGATTGAGACACTGATCACTTTAAACGTCCGTGTACGTGACACTATTCAGCTGCTCTATGTGACGTAATGACATTAACAGGCCTGCGGGACACACTGTCCACATACAGGATGTCCACCACAAGCTACGAGGGGACAGATACACGGTGTCTCTTCCTTTTTACACGTAAAGAAATGGTAATGAATCAAACCAACCAACAAGCAGTCAAGCAAAGGAATACTAAACTCCTATTCAGTTGTGACGTTGAATGTATTGTCTAACAGCTGGAATGCAAAAAAAAAAAGTATGAAAACTTATTGTCTTGTTTGTTGAAATTAAACTTGATTAACAAGAGGGATGTTTACTGGAACAATTTACTTCTAAGTGGACATGTTCATGAATAAAATTGCACATTTTAAAATCTTTTTATGTTTAAAGTGTGGAAGTGTGTCTCTTTCCGTCAGTCTGAAAATAAACACATGCAATCAGGAACAGACAGAAGACGCAATGATGGTGAGAGCAAGACAGCAGCACCGCGGTGGCGTTTTACCGTGAACCTTTATTTTTATACAAAATACAAAATTCTGAACAAATGGCGCAAATGCTCAGTTCACACAGGTTCAAAAAGTCCATCCCGCATACTTAAGACACCGCGTTTTAATCAACGCCTTTCAGATCCAACACATCTACGTTGCCTGTCATGAGGTTTTTTTTACATTTAAAAACACTAAATTTCTGTTTCGGTAAATTATAATCTATGACGTTTCTTTTCCTTGGCTAATACTCTAAACACGGGCTCTTTGAACACTGCGTACGGTTTTATGTTCCTTCAGAAAAACTCAAATGAATGCAGCGCCAAGCCTCCTTACAGGGGACAGCGCTGAATGAACGGCCATTAAACTGTGTGTCACTTCATTTAACGGCTGCATTATTCATTCCAGTTATTTTTGAGTTCTCTGCTGAAACCTTTACCGTCCTTTTTCTGTTTCTGTTCCTATGCGGCAATTTCCATGAGCGTGGATAACTTTATTCCCAGCGATAATTCTCAATGCCGTAACTCGCCTCATCCCAACTTTAGCCTGGGACTAACTAGCTACTGACGGGTGTCCAGTGTCCACTTAACACGGCATCTGGATAATCCAGCAGCCAGCAGCTGGCTTAAGTCAGGGATCAGCGGCTCAACACACCACCTGAAACATGAAATACCCCTTAAACCCTTTGAATGTTTTCATTCCGTTAAAAAAGAAACCTTTAGGACAGCGATGTCCTGGGTGTCTGTCCAGCCTAGAAAAACCAAAATTCATCTTTTAAGTATGTTGAAAACTATTGTTAGGAATTGACAAGAAAATTAAATAAGAGACACATTTACAGCAAACTAACCAAACTATGGAAGGAAATGTGAGAAACCAGCGGTTCCAATCGGACGCGCGTGTGCCGCGGGTGGACACGTCCGCCTGCACGAGGACACGTGCTCACTTAACAGTACACGTGGGGACAGTGAGGACTTTGTCTGCGGTTGGACTGCTGCCTTTTCTCTGGCCAAAGCTTCGTGCCCGTGGACGGAGAGGCTCCTGGAGGGGGGGGGGCGGGCGGGCGGGCGGGTGTGACGGCGTCTGGCATGAGGAGGAGGGTCAGAACCGAACAGAACCAAATCGAAACCGCTGAGCGCTGAAATGGTGAAGACTTTCAAAGGAATTTAAAAAAAAAAAATTAAAAAAAACACACAGGCGATGCCTCCGCCCTGCTGTGCGCCAGCGTTTTTTTGGGCCGACCAGCATCCCCCGACAGGTGTGACGTCCAACAAAGTACTCGCGAGTTTCGTCTCTTTAAAATCCCCAAGAAGAACAATAGCGTCTTTTATTAACATTTTAAAACTCCAACCGGCATCGTTGAAGATTCTCTTTAAAATCCGGGCCGGCGTTGATCGTGTTGGAAGTCGGTTGCCGCCACCGCCGCCGCCCCGGCCATAAAATCGAGCGGGCAAATCCGAAGGCTTCCTCACTCGGGACGAACACACTGGCGCCTTCTCTTTCCTTCGTTGCCGCTTTCTTTTGACTCTTGATTTTATTTGCAGAGGGCTTTCGGCTTCCGACACTCGAACAGCAGCGGGTAAATCTGCTCGACGGCCGTGGCCACGTTCTGCACATTTGGTCCTGGGTGAGAGCAGGAGAATAAGCATTAACCCACATAGAGACAAGTGCAGCCTAACGCACAAACACAAAAAGCGGGCACACGCTCCGTCACCCGGGGAGGGGAAAGCCTGGAGGGATCGGGTTATTCGCCGATTCTGCTTGTGACAAGACTATAAAAGTGCATTTTTGCGACGCAGCCTCAAACCGGACGTTGTTTGTGTGCAGGTTGCTATGCGAGTGTGAGAGCTCTACCTGTGACTGTGATGCTGCCAGTGGAGAACACCTGGACCGTGGCCTTTATGTGTTTGATCCTGTACGTGGCAGCCGGATGGAGCTCTGGTTCGTAGCTGATGGATGGAAATAAACACGGGTTAGTTGTTTGTACACGAAAGGCTTGCAAACCACGGCTAGTCTAAAAACATCTCGTGCGAGACCACTGCTGCCACCACTAGAGGTCACCCTGTCCTTGCCGTTACTGAAAGACTAAAAAACAAAAAGCTAACAAAGCCATTAGCTTTATAATGCAGGTATTGAGGTGTCAGACTCAATTTAATCAGAGAGACAATAAAAGAGACATTCATGACGGTGGTTTGTTTTCTTTCCTTAATATTAATTAAACTAATTGTAAATAAATGCTGGGAGAGATCGAGAGGGAAAAGATTTGAATGACAGTGATGACGTGTAGTACCACATTACCTGGCAATGGGTCGGTTTTTTATTGTAAAGTCTACAAGTTGGATCCCAAACGGCATGGAGCACACGGCCAGGACGTTCACCACTTTGAAGGCGGAAAACCTCACCTGGACACACGACACGCACATGCAAATGTATTTAGAATTTCACAACAAAAGGACAAGTCTCAGTCGTACAATCTCGGTCAGTGCTGAATACACGATATCTATAAAGTGAACAGACTTCACGGATTCGTCCCGTGCCTGCGCGGTCTTTCCTCCCCGCAGAGAGAGAGTGGTCGTCTGTCCCCATGCCAGCCTGTGACACAACAACGGTTCTCAAGCGTCTTTTTGTTCTCGGGAGACAAATGCTAATTTTACGAGACGAACCTGATCCGGCAAATTCAACCACTTTGGAAAGAATCGCCTCGGGATCTATTGGGCCTCTCTAAGCACACTCCCTCCCTGCGGACACAAGCTTATTTTCAATCGGGAGCTCCGAGCAGAGAGCGCTCCCCCACCCGGTCAGGTGCACAGCATCAGTTACTTCAGGCTCAACAGATCTCTCTACCCAACTAATGCAACTTCTCTCCTTCCGCCAGAAAACGACGTGTAATAAACCTGAGAAAATAACTTGAATGACAGTTGAACCTTAAAAAGACAATCTGACGTCTCGTGAATCTTTAACAGATATTAAAACAAGCTCCCTTTTTGCATTCATGTTCCGGTCTTTTTAAACAGAACAGTGGAAAAAAAAAAGTGGAATCTGTTCCCATGCAGTTAACCAACCGCTCACCTTGAAGCCCAGTTTCTGCAGAACGCGTGCTAACCTGCGAGCACCCAGCTTTGCGTCATCCTCACTGAACAAAGAAAAGAGCAGAGAGCAGTCAGAGAAAAAAACAACAACCGTAGATGATTTGCATTGCAAAAGAGACACATACAGAACCAGAGGCGTCCCGGTGTTGGTTTGAGGTTCGCTGATTGGCCAAAAATGATAACCGCTAGTGTAACACAAGACGAGAGCGCTTCTACAGCCGGTCAGTCAACGTCTTACCTTGTCGCTCCGGTGCAGATGATTTTCCCCGAGGACCAGATCGAGGCTGTGATTTTGGGTTTCCGAAGCTTCATCAGCACTTTCTGAAAACCAAAGAGCGGTCCGATTTCAACGCGCAGTCACATGACCCACTCTGTGAGCGACAACGAGGCGGAGCTCAGCGTTTGACTTCCTTACCCCTATTTCGGGCTTATAGATGACATTGGTTCCCTCCAAGGCGATGGTGCGCAGGTTGAGGTGGCACCGGACCCTGAAGGTGGCCACCACGTTGGTGATGATGATATCGAGTGCGTCGTCATTGCCGGGCTCCATGAGGAAGTGTGCGGTGCAGCAAGAGGACCACGGGAGCGTTCTCCTCACACGTTTACCGCCGATGCCACCATCGCGTTTTCACGCACGGACGGACGGGGAGAGAGACGAGTGGAGCTGGAGGGGGAAAAGAAATGGGCCCCGGGGTCTGTTAGTATTAGAGAGTTAGAAGTCATTTTGACATTTGCAATGTCTCTGGGCCTTTTTTAAAAATTTGATTTTCCACGTAATCAATAAATTAACTGACAGAAATGAGTAAACGTTGTTTCTACAGCTGACTGCAAACGTCCCGAAAGGGGCTTATAACGTGGCACATAGTGGCGACACCGATTCACCCGATTCCTCTGCAACGTGGATCCCAATCACTCAAAACACGGATCACAAAGCCATCTGCACATCAGAGGAGGGATTTAAACATTTCGGATTATATTTACAACGTATTAGCTTCCCCGCTGGTGATACAGCTTCATACGTTACCTAGCGCTCCGCAGAAAAAGGCGAATTCACATTATATATTTGAGGCTAAACGACGTATAAAATGAAAAGTGAAATATGTTGATTGGGGTTCAAGCTCGTCTGGGATGTGAGGTGTGTGTCGGCGTTCCAGCTGACGCGTCGCCCTTCCCGGCGTTGTTTTTATGAAGTAACGCAACTGATGGATGTTTATGGAATTGATGCTAAACTAGCGAACGTTGCTAGGCCGATGCAACCGGCTGTCAAAACGGTTAATCGCAAACTATTCCATCATCACAACATGGCCCGGCCTGAAACGGGACAACCTTACTGACCTTAGCGACTAAAAAACGAAGAGTTATGATACCCCACAACTGCCCGTCGACTGCGGTGAATACAGCTATCGGCTAACTAGCAACAAAGAAAGTGCACAAGCATTAATGAATGAAAAGTTGTTAGCTAAGCTAGCTAGCATGCTAGCTGCGTAGCGTTACGCTGAGGACGAGGGGGGTTTTGCAACTGTTTCCGGGCGGGTTTGCGTGAAAACGGCAAACGTGTGCATGTGGAATGTGTGCTTGAATTCATAAGATACCTCATTGGCAATCTCAGTGCAGTAGAGACATAAACAGCCCGGTCAACGGTGAAAAAAAATCTGCACGGACCCCTGCATCCGTGGACTGGAAGCAAAACTCCTTCCTGTTTTTGGAGTTTCAGAATAAATGCAGGCAATTTATTGAATTTGAAACTTCCGGCAACCCCTTTCAAAATAAAACGGTGCTAACTCACTAAGTTGTTAAACAGAAGGTTACCTTTAGAAATGTTGTATGTGGAGAGCAGAGCATAAGGATAAATTGGAGTCCCATGTATGCCTACCGGGCCAATAAAGCTGATTCCTGCAGCACATATAATGGATTTACTTTCCATTTTTCATTCATTTTCTCCAGGACATATTCTATTCACTGATTAAAAGTTCTACCTGCTCATACAGATATACTTGAACAGAAACCACTGCCAATGAGTTGGTATCTTGCGCAGCCATGCGGACAATGAGGGTCGTCCTGCTGGGAAAGAGAAATTACATTATTTTGACATAATTTGCAACTTGTCTACATCATTTCCTGCAAAGGAAGCTTCTAATTGACATGAGTGGTAAACAGATGAACTAGGGGATTCATTGAGGCTCAAAGTTATAATTTATTCAACAAAAGGTTAAAGTGCTTGTTCACTGTGGCCAAATTCTATGTCCACAAATTTGCCTTTGTGATCATCTATGTCTGCCAATATTACATTTAACAAGCTTATGTTAACACCCTTTTTCCAGATAACAATATGTAACTCCCCCCAGTGTTTATGGCGTATTTACATTCAAACTGTGCGGATTAGTACATCTCTGTGGAAAGTGAGCACATCTGGTCTGTGGGGAATTCTGGACGGACTACAAAAGAGGAAAAGGAGTAAAGTTTGGAGGAAGTTGGGGATGTTTGTGTTATCAATGAGAGAGTTCACAGCCGCTCCCGTGACTCATGAATGAATCCAGTGAATGAATGGTGTCTGGAGGTGTCTGCTCCGGTGTCACATCCCGCAGTGATCAGGACTTTTAGGCATACTGATAATGACTTTGTGGCTGATCATACCTTACCGTAAGATGATTTCACTCGCTCTATTAACACCGCATGAAAGTCAATCTGATAAGTACGACATATCATCTTTTCGAATAGATTATCTTAAACTGAACTTTATGTGCACATTATGTGTGTGCTTTTTAGTTTTAATATCCATGACTTATTGTTTGCTTATGCACATACACGCATTGCGTCCTGTTACCCAGTTCTTCTGCTTGGACCACTGTAAATACTTCTCCCTCCCGGCCTGCGTCCAAACAAAACAGAAAAATAACTTCTTTGTGATTCAGCCTTGTTATTATTGTTCTTCCTCCCTGGTTACCAAATTGTGTCCTCATCATTGAATCCTCCTGGGCTTCTCTTGGTGAAATACAGCCCCGTAAGTCATCTCGCGCAAGAGCCTCGTTCAGATGTCCCGAGATGTTTACTATAAAGGTTTAGATTTAGATAAGGTTAGGAAAGTCAGACCACTAGCAAAGACGGTGTGCGTGTGTTTGTGTGTGTGTGTTGTGAGGCGGCTGACGCAGGGCGCAGGAGTATGTTTATAGTTTGTTGGGTTGCACATCGCTGAGGCAGCTTATTCCCAAGGGAACAATGCTCTTATTCTCATTAGGTCATAAGATGCAGCCTGTAAACACACAGATGTGAGCACTTATGTCCTAATAGATCCAGAAATGTCTGAGAATAAATAGACGTTCTATCACTGTAACTGCTCTGTGTGTGTGTGTGTGACTGAGGGAAAGTGAGAGATGGATCATTTTTCCTTGTGTCACACCATGCATGTGCTTGGCGTGTGTTTCTGTGTGTGCGTGTAACAATAGTTACGGACTATTGGCTATCTTGAAAAGTTTTTATACATTTATACAGATGATAAGTGCAATGTTAACTTTGGGGAGGAACCCTGGTGAATGGAGGCCACATATGCACTCATCTCCAGGCCCTAAAAGATGTTTTTTTCCCCTTGGATATCTGTGCGATCTGTATATGATAAAAAGCTGACAGTCACACAATTTTCTCCAAAATCACAATGAAACATACTAATACAAGATTGTTTTGTGCCTTGAGCTTTCCAAAAACACAATCCTTTTAAAAAACGTAGCTGGTCCCAGTCAGCAGATGTGTCTCTGCAGAGATGTTCTGCAGGGGTGACCTCACTGTTGCCTGTAAACTGGGCGTGTTTGTCAGGACCCCAGTGTTCTGTTTATGTTGGGCGTACATCACAGGCCCTTTTCAAAAGGACTCAGACGGCAAAGTTAAACCTTTTGAGAGGCTTTTTGGTAGTGCTGTAAAACTGAGTTCAATACTGCTCTGATGGCTCTGTGGGAACTCTCACTTTTTTCGCAGCAGAGTTTGAAAAGGGTGCAGAAATGAAGGATCCAGGGACGAGGCTGGAAACGACAGAAATGAAAGCACGGGGGGTCTCAAACAATAACAGCACGCGGGAGGAGATAAGACAGTGACCATACCCACCTTAATGGTTGCATCTCTGCATAGATGTGTGCAGACTGCTTCTGCATGCCCACATGCTGCGTGTGTTTACTTATGAGTGAGTGTTTCTGTACGAGACAGAGACGGATAGTGTGTGAGTTGGCCGTGTGGAGGGAATCCAGTGCTCTGGTAGTGCTGCTCTGGGGTCTCCCAGTGTAAACAGAGACGTGGGAACCACCGAGCCTGTTTATATCAATCCAATTCTTACTGGGACCAGTGAGCCAGGCATCAGGGGCACAGCTAGCACACCAGTGTCATGTGCATGCAAGCTCAGCCACATCAAAAAATATATTTTTATTGCATATATAGAAATGCATGTGTGCAGGATTCCTTTGAACAGGCATCACCTCAAAACTCAGAGACTTTAATTTAGATTTAGATTCTGGGGAAATGATTAATCAAATCAACAATGATGTAAATCCACTGATTCAGTTTACACATTGCAATACTCAAAGTGAATTCAAAATATTTAGGCACATGACAAAGGTGGTTGTTGTCTCAAATAACATGAATTGTTCTATTGAAAACCAACACAAATCAGTAAGTCTGTGAGTTTTATGTACGTTCCAGGGCAAAAACTACATTGCGATACCCAGGAGTTATTTGTATTCACATGACCAAACCTACCATATGTAGGTTGTGTCTTGAGAGCCAACTCTCTACTTTCTCACTCAAAGTGTTGGGGAGTCTTAACACGTAGGCCAAACAAAAGGAGTTTCTAAAAAGAAGTGAAATCGCCTCATCCTCCCATCAGCTGCAGAGATGAGGCCAACTCAGACACAGAGACAATCACTCAAACGCTCATCATGCCAGATTTACTGACCTAACATTAACAGCACCTGCATAAATGTTATTTTACAGTTCCCCGTTAAGCCATGTTTAGACTAGTTTTGGAAATGATGACGCTGCCATGAACATTATCTGGAGCGATCCAGTCCGATGAGAAAGCACCTGCTTTTTCAAAAATTTGCAATCTTTTGTTCTCGCAAACTCCCTCTCTAAGTTCAAACACTACAAATTAGACTACAATTGCTTTCATGCAAACTGAAGATTCATATGATAAAGTATAGGTTAATATACTTAACCGAGGGATGCCTCGTCTCATGAGTGCTGTACAGTTGACGAGAAAACCATCTAAGGTAAAGAATGAAGAATTTGAAAAGAAAAACAGCACCAGTGTTTAGGAAATGCTTAAAGGATCCCGATGCCCTCTTTTTGTGTCTCTTAACTGGCCCATTAACAAACAACACATTTCCAATGCGCAAGTGGGGGCCAGCGGTCATTTTATCAGCACCCCAAGGAGACAAACACACACGTCCAGTGTTTGGATAAAGAAGGAGCTGCTGTAAGCCCTGCAGAGTGGATTCTTCCTCTCTAGACAACAGAGCGAATCCAAAACAAACTGCTGTAGGAGAAAATTACTAAATTACTCACCTGGTGGCCTTTTGAGATATTGTGTGTGTGTGTGTATGTTTGCGATCAGGGGGTTGCACGCACCATTATCACTGTGTGTCTTGATGTATACTGTGCATGTCAATTGGAGGGGAGGGTGGGTGCCAAAAGTACCCTCTACCCCCCGTGTGCATGTGTGTAAAGAGTCACAGAAACTTTGTGCTGGTGAGGGTCTGCATTTCGGTGCAATAGGGTGGGGGCGGGGGGGGGGGGGGGGGGGGGGGAGGTGTTGACATAGAAGGATGTTTTGGGGTGACGTTCGGGGAACAAGTCGGGGTGAAGGTGCAGAATGATGATAGGAAGGAGGGATATGTGATAAGGGTTTGTTGTGTTTTACCAGCTTATACTTTTGGGAGTTTGGTTTTGTGCGCCGTGCCGTTGCGTGTTCGCTGACGTGCGCGCACTCTAATTGATCTGCTTTTGCTCATACTGCTGTTTGTGTGCAATGAAATGAAGCAACAAAGATCTCCCACTCATATGAGAGCAACATGCAGGCACAAACGAATGCCTAAGCGCACACACACGCACACACACACACACACACACACACACACACACACACACACACACACACACACACACACACACACTGATATCTAAATTAATGGTCTCCTTGGGGAGTCATCCAAAGGCCACGGGCGTTTGGGAGAAAAGATTCTTGGAAAAAGGCTTCATCATCAGAACATGTGCTCATTAGTAACCCCATCTTAGCCGTCCAGAAGAGAGAGAGAGAGAGAGAGAGAGAGAGAGAGAGAGAGAGGTGTACACTAAGGAATACGTGGACAAGGTTATATACTTATCATGTTGAAGAGGCATTCACTTTGCAGTCTCTCCAAAGGACGGTGTTTTAGATAGATGGAAGGCGAATGAGGAATCAGCCACGGGGATGAGAAGCATGAGGGAAGAGGATAAACAGTTCAAAGAAAGTCCAAGAGCAAAAAGAAAGAGTAAAACAAATAAATAAAAGATTCTTAGCAAGTTCCACTCCCTCTGTCTCCTGCAGACTCACTCTGCGCAGGAAGTCATTAAAGAGTAAGCTAATAAAGCTCTGTCAGATATATTGTATCCACGTCCTCCACAAGGATATAAAATATTGGCCTCCCATTCTCATCAGACAAGGGGATCAACATTTTACGGGCCTTCGATGTCCTCCTTTGGGGTT